CGATACAGTTCGCATCAATTCGGTACGAATTCGCAAAATAAGGGTAAAACGCGAATTGTTGCATCATTTTTACGCTTAAAAATTGCGATTCGTCAATTCGTCTTTAGACACTTTGTCCACACATCTCGTATTGTCCTTTCATTGCACTGTTAGCATTCAGCATCGAAAAAATTGAGAGTAGCACAGATTCATTATTCCCACTTTTTCTTCCGAGCGTGCTGTAATTGAAACCGAGACCCTCTGACTAGGGAATAGTTCCAAGTAATTAATCGTTTTAACCATGAAATTACTATTCTTATATGTGATCACTGCTCTATTGTTAATTACTAATTGGTCAGTTGTACTGTTCAGGAAAAAACTGTCGTTTAGTTCTCGTACAGTGAGAACTGTATCATGACAAACCTGAACTAAGAAAAAGCTCGTAGCTCCACTAAAACTCAATTGGGAAGTCTAAAACTTACAGATTAGCGGTTGTTTGATGCGGGCTACAAAATGGATCTTTTTGAACAACTTTAATTTTCGGATCTCTGAAGCAATCCCTCTAACGCTATTTAAATCTCTGAATCAAGTTGATTCTGAAATCGTTTCGACCGCCGTTGCCAGGATTCAAACTCTGTATGTTTGAAGTACGTTGTCTGCCCACTAGCCAACTGAGTCACGCTGCTCAATGTGTATCCTTATGTGTCATATACACATATCGGCATGCGACGTCAAGGAAAAGGAGAAAAGTACGCTTGAACTTTATTGAATAAGCATTATACCCTTTTTAATTTCTAGACGCGTGGCGACATAGAAAGCCAGAGAAAACATAATCTTTCAGCTATTCACTCACTAAAGTTTTCTATCATTATACAGAAAGCTGATTGTATTTTGAGGGAGTGCATCTATGAACCAATCACATCATTCAAAATGTCGGTTATATTTTTCGAATTTTCCTGTATTGTCAACGAACTGCAAATCTCAGATATTGAAAACATGTAAGGTGAAGACGGTTAATTTTTATGACAGAAACTGTTTTTGTCCGGTGGATAAAAGTTTAAGACACTTAGTGACTGTTCAGCTTCCGCTTTTTTTCTGTGTAAAATATTTTTTAAAGAAGTGGAATCCTTTGCGCCAGATAGAGAATTTCGATTACATATAAGAATAGTAATTTCATGATTAAAACGATTAATCACTCGGGACGGTTTCCTCGTGAAAAGAAAATCAGGGTAGTTAGTGATGAGCCGATGGAAAACAACATTTTTTTCTAAGGGATAGCATAATTATCTTATTTATATTTTTTGTATTCTTTTTAGTGGTGGATCAACAACAATCAATTCCTACAATGATATTGAAATATTTCGTCAACGATGTCAAGCATCTTCCGTCATGCTTTGTCAAATAGCGATGTGGAATCCATCAATATTCAGGAAAGAAGGTCTATTACAACTTGATACTGTTATTAGACGGTTTTTAGAACTAGTAAGTGATTACCTGATAGAAATTCGTTTTCCTTTCTATTTGGACAGAACTCAGTGGCGCATTTTCATTAAAACGGAGAAAGGTATATACCTCAAATACTTTTTTCTATAGTAGTTAAAGGAAAGGAAAATACGTTAAACATGAGAAAGATTTGATCCCGTTTTCAATTTCAAACTAAGTGTGATGTGGCATAACTTTTGTCTCAGATATTAGCCATGTTAAGACGAGTTTTTACTACTGATGTTTCATGCATATGTCGATTGCGACAAAAAATAAGTAGATGTGAATTATAGAAAACTTTGAGCAATCTTCATTTGGAAAGTGTCTATTTATCAAAGATACATAATCTATCAGTAAGTGTCAGAAATTTTTATTACTTCATGTTCTCATTATTCAACTTCAGTTTTAGTATCAGACAATAGTGTCTTTCTTTTTAGAGTATTCAATATGATAATGCATTTGGAAATATTAAATATGTGTTACAACGAATGTTATGCATAACAAATAATGTAACTTTATATGAAAAACTTTTATCAACTGACACACACAGTCAAATTTTGTGAGTAAAACTAGTTTCATCACAGACCTTTGCCGTTTAACAAACGTATTTCTGTAGACACATGTATAACGCAATATCTGAAGTTTGTTCAAGTACTCTCTTTGCAAAATTATATGAAAAAAATGAGCACTGAATATCAGAAAAAGAGATGATATAAGTGTTTAGAGAGCTAATAAGCTCTTAGGAATCGTTTTTTGCGTGATCAGTGGAAAGTTTCAAGAATATTGTGCAGACAAAAATGTGGAATTGTATAAGTGTATTATAATGTCGATAGTCTTGGAAGATTTATGACGGTGCCGATTTATAAGTTATGAAATCAATTTTACAGATTGTTTTCATTTATTTTAGTGACATGTTCAATTTATTAGACGCGTATAAGCTCGGAGATACTGAAAGAGATACTCATCGAATTAAATTACGCCATAAAATGATGTTGGATTTTAATTTGTTAACTAATCATGAGAATACAATTGATATATGTCCTATGACGTCTGGAGAAATAATTGAGAAAGGTGCAAAATTTATAAGGTAAAATAAAGTGAATTATTAATGTTATGGTAGACAGTAATGATATTTATCATGTTTAGATCGAACTATACAAGTTGTGATACACCAAAGAGTGCTTTGAACAGTTATTGTATCAAAGAAAAATTGAAACGACCAATTTATCGAACAGTAAGTATCCTAGACAAATATATTAGAAACTATTGAATTTGTCTAGATGATTCAAAAATAAATAATCTTTCAAACGTTTCCAATTGTTGCTACGAGTTGAAGTTAAAAAAGTTGTTAATTGAGTAAAACTATAGTACTTAATCGAGTTCCAGAAACAATCGGTTGTTCTTATAAACATTTTTTTGTTCAATAATTACCGTTAATTTGTTTATTTATTTTCAAGGAAGAAATGAAACCACAAAGAATATTTCGTACAATATTGGAGTTAGATAATAAACGATATACAACAACGACGTGGTATACCTTCTCTTCTCATTTAAATTCTAAAATATGTTTAAAAGTTCTTTTTTTAACATATTTCTCTCCTTTAGGGAAAAAAATAAACAACAAGCTGAACAAGGAGCTGCTATGGTCTGTCTTAATTCGATTGGTATTGATCATTTGAGATTGAAATATGCCAATAGATAACAGGATAATACAACAGTATACAACATTCTCAAGTGAAAATTTTGTTTTTGTTTAATCTGTTCTTTTAAATAAACCGTTCAATTAATAAAAAAAAATTTTCTCAATGGAATATAACAAGACATTATTTAAGATGATGATAGCGAGAATATTAGTATAGAAAGTTTTTATTTAAATTCTAAATAGCTTTCTATTAAAATTTACGAATGTCTATAGTTGCCTACATATTAATATAAGATATATGCGTATGATGTGAAATATACAGCATATTTATTGAAAATTGTTTACATTACCTATTAAAAAGAAATCTATTATCAAAACTTGTTTATATCTAGGAACGGAGAAATGTTTTAAATAATTTGATTCTAATTTATCTCTATTTGTTAATGAATATGACTAAACTAAATCAAAAAATACTAATGCAAAATAAGAAACATCAAAATATACACAACATATTTGATTATGAGATTGTTAAAATATATTGCCTAAAACAAATAACTTTTGCTTCGGTAGTCACTCATTTTTGATTAAATCGATTATTTTTTCGCTTTTTCTTTGGTGATTGCACACGTTCAATAATGTTAGCATTTTGTTTTTGAATTATTGTTTTGCTAATTACTAGTCGCTCAGGCGTGGGCATTCGACGATGTACTGTTCGATAGACTGGTTCCGGATCGGGTAAACGAATTACTTGTCGATATTTTCGCGGCTGACGACGAGTGATTTGATAAGCACTGAACGGTTGAACATCATTCGAGTTATTGCCATTCTTCCTTAATGAAGATGGAACTGCTGTAGAAAATTTATTGTTGTTGTTGAAAGAAGTTGGTAAATTGAATAGATCTGAGATGATTTTAGGATGATAATTATTTGGTATGGATCGGGGTAAAGTATTGTCCGTTATGTGCAGTTGGATAGGCATTAATTGACAAACAACTTGATCTTCAATGATGTGCTGCTATAAACAAAAAAATTCTTCAGGATTAATTAGAAGAATTTAAAATAGACGACACTAAGAAATGGTAAGAATATTTATGTTTTCCTGGTTACAAATGATTTGCGATAAAATGGATTATCAAATAGATTATGCAAATTACTTGTATCTTTGGACAGATTTTGTATGTCGAAGCATAGACTATGCAGATCTCATTATGGCGTGAAATGAACTTGAACGAATAAAGAAATTTTCTTACTTGTATGCCAACTCTTCTAAAAAAACATACACACAACTAGACACCTTTATGTGGTTTCTAGTGGATATTTATAGTGTGTATATAATTGTCATCGCCTATGTGAAAAAAGAAGAAAAAAAACAACCTTGTTGTCGCGCAACTTCTGAGGTTATAAATCACAATCAACGATCATAGATATGCACACAAAAGAGAAAGAAAAGATAAGAACATATTTATGGATATTAAAAATGCATTGTGGTTCAAAATCATATACTAATTGCTTTACTGTGTATAGAGGAGACAAGAAGAGAAAAGGCAAGGAAACACTTACGTTTAATATTTAGTAACATTACATGCTATTTGTTACACAGATATGATCAACCAGCATATGTCTGCAAGGATGTATGTTCGTGGTCACGCTTTGATAGTTGTAATGAACAAAGAACTTTTCTTTTGATAATAAGATACAAAACCTTTTTAATCTCAAAGTGTGGTGGCTATACACAACTATAATAAAATCCACATGTCGACATAATGCACCATCGTAATATGTGATCATCATTGTCTCTAATTTATTGCTTTAAAATGCCTGAAAAAATTTTCTGTCATCTTCGAATATCGGGTGATCCAGATTAAATGGCGGTCTCATTATTTCGTCAATACCTCTTTTAGCTTTCATTCACTCTAAAAGAAAATGTGACTTAGGATCAAATTAAGTCGCATTAATGTGCCTTATTCTATGAAAATAAGGCACGTTAATGCGACTTAATTTGATTCTAAGTCGCATTTTCTTTTAGAGTGTTGCTTACACTTGAAGTTTTTTTAAAAAGATTCTCCGTTCAATTCTCCACACATTTTTCTAAAAAACACTTCGATGGTTTCTAGGATTGTTCGATGAAACAAGTTGCTGACGCAACTTTTCTTTTTTTTACAATTCAGAGTGCTCTTTCTCATGGTGTAGGGGAAACTTAGTTTCAACCAAGTATTATGACTTAAAAACTATATAATATCCTCAAATTGGGTAAACGACCAGAATTTAGCGTATTTTGTTCGTTGCATTCGGACAAAAAGAATTTTTTAAAGTTTAAAAATCTGGGCTGTGATGTGCTATTCTTCTTTAATATAAAATTAAAATGAGCTCAAAAAAAAACTATTTTTGATCGACATATGCAAATTTTCTGAACACCCCGAAACTGCTGTTTCAAAAACACGATTTCTGCAAAATATCAAAAAAGAAAAATTTATCATGCGCTGCACATTGTGGCGCGAGAAATGTTTTTATTACAACTAACAGAAAGAGCTTTTGAAGCGCTACAATGATGGCTCGTTCATTTTCTTAATGCTTCAAAGTGCGGACAAATAACACTAGGAAAATCTATTGTTTTTGCTCGAGAGTTTCAAAAGTTGGACATGTTGAAGCTTCACAGCATTATTAGTTCAATTTCTCATATTTAAATTTGAGATTAAACATCCTTGTACATTCTAGTAGAGGATTGAACAGGGAAATTAATGAAATCAGTAAGTTGAAATAACACCTTAAATTTTTACTAAGTAAACATTAACTATTCATTTTCTAAATTTCCTAACAACATTTCTATATAATTCCTAACTCTGTTTTATTATTAAAAAACTATTTCTTTTAAGTTTCTAAAAATACTACGATTATAGTTAAAAGTTTAAGAGAAGATTAATCTAGATATTTTAATAACTCCTACTAATTAATCCATAATTATTATAGATTACTGGATTATTATATTCATTTAATCCATAAATTAATCTATAATCCAATAAAAGAGATATTGACGAAATAATGAGACCGCCATTCAATCTGGACCACCCGATATATTAGTGTAATATTTTGAGACAGAAATTTAAATCTGTTGCGTAAAAGCTGATATTGAAAATCAGGAAAAAAATATCGCTGTTGTGATTATTCCGTTGATGAGAGTAAGCGATCAAGTTGGCCTAAACTAGACAGATGATTTGAACAATAGAGTAGAGAATCATTATGAGGTCATTAATATTTATCTTTTTCTTACGTGGTCAATTATCAGACAAACGAGTTAAACCTTTCTCTTGTAAATTGTGCATTGTATGTTAAATATAGATGGATTAGACAGTCAGGTTGACGACTTACAGTCTATGAAAGTTAATCAGTCGTTTCTAGTGGTACAAAGGACATGTATATCAGGGCTTCCACATCGTTTTTCGCACCATCACTACTGTTCAGTCCATCCATAATCTGCAGTGTTCTATCCCATTGTATACACCGTAAAGAAACTGATCGTTTTCCTTTGGTTCTCTGCATTCCCATGTGATAAAAATCGCTTAAAAATCGGCGACTTTTACGTGACTTGGTGTTCGATTGTTGCGATGTTATGTCGCAATTAGTCGGCGAGTTTTTAGCGACCTTTTATTTTTAGTCGCGATTTATCA